GTCTTATTTTTGTCCTCATGGACATCCTTCTTTCCCAAGGAAAAGGGGCCTCGGCTCGGGGAGAGAGTCAATTCCTGAGGCCAGACAATCCATAGGAGGAACTTTCTGCCACAGTGTGGTGTGGTGTGGTGTGGTGTGGTGTGGTGTGGTGTGGTGTGGTGTGGTGTGGCAGCTCAGATATCACAAGGACTGCCATCTCGTGTGCAGGATACCCGGGGAGGGGAACTGCGGGGTGGGGGTGAGCAGAGGCATTTTCTCCTTCCGGAAACCAGATGATGATCGAATAAAATTAGCCATCCATCCTTGAGACATTCTCAAGGAGGTGGGCTGGGAATGTGTCTGGGTGGTAAACAGCTTCCCCTAAAAACTCGGGCCTAAATGGCGGCGGCGGCATCCATCTTGTTCACAGACCCAGTGTCCACGTTGAAAATGAGAGTCTCTTCTGGGACGCTGGTTCCTGCTCCCTCCTTCCTTCTTCCAAGGAAGAAGTTGCCGCTGGCGGGTGGGTTCCAGGCTGGCAAGCAGAGTAAGCAGAGCCCCGCTGGAGTCCACAAGGAAAAGCAAGACCGAGGGGAGGCGGGGAGGGGGACACAGAGACAGACAGGAGACAGAGAGGCAGAGAGAAAGAGACAGAGACAGAGACAGAGAGAGACAGAGACCCAGCGACCGACGGAAAGACACACAGGGGAAGAGATGGAGGGGGAGCGAGAGATCCACAAGTCCAACTAGGTCCCCTGAACGAATCATCGACAGACAGACAGACACACTGACAGACAGACAGACAGACAGACACACACACACACACACACACACACACACACACACACACACAGAGGCAGACAAGAGGGAGATGGAGAGATGGAGGGGGAGCGAGAGATCCACAAATCTAACTACACCAACTGAATAATCAGACAGACAGACAGACAGACAGACAGACAGACAGACACACACACACACACACACACACACACACACCGACACACAGGCAGACAGAGGGAGAGATGGGGAGTATAACTAGATCACCTGAATCAACAAACAGGAACAGGCACACATGCCCCCACCACACACACACACACACACACACACACACACAGGCAAAGACAAGAGACCGACACACAGACAGGCAGAGAGGGGGAGACATGGAGGGGGAGCCCTAGAGACCCATCAGTGTGACTGACTAGATCACCTGAATAAATTTATTCCTTCCCTGCCCTGCCCTCATGTATGAAGGTAGACGATTGGTATGGAGTTCTTCTTGTCACCAAACACAGGTGAGGGCTAGTGACTTTTTACCCTTCCATGTAGGGACTCTTCACTTAGGACCCTTGATTTTGATCATTGAATAAGAATTTCTGGAGGAGTCACTCTGGTGGAGTTTTATGGAGTAAGCAATCAGGCAACCAGGCAACCAGACAACCATACAACCCAACCACAAAAAAAAAAAAAAAAGCAGACACAGACAGACAGACAGACAGACAGACAGACAGACAGAGAGACCCACACAGCTCCTGACTTCATGGGTGTTTTCAGGGTTAAAGTGGGGGGTCGGGGGGAATGTGGCAACTGAATTATGCACAGATAGTTGTTTTATCTTTGCTCCAATCTCAACTCTAGATGTTTGGGGTATTTCTTTACAGATAAGATAAACAGATCATTAACGCTTGTTTTCTTTCTTTCTTTCTTTCTTTCTTTCTTTCTTTCTTTCTTTCTTTCTTTCTTTCTTTCTTTCTTTCTTTCTTTCTTTCTTTCTTTCTCTCTTTCTTTCTTTGTGTTCCCCCCCCCTCTCCTTTTTCTCTTTTTTATGGGGGGGGGAGAGGTGGGCAATCCTGGGACTCGAAGTCAAGGCACTGTCACTCAGCCACTCAGCTTTTTTGGCTCAATTCTAGCAGTCTATCACTTGAACCAGAGCTCCACTTTTGGCTTTATCTGTCTATGTACTATGTACGTGGCGTGTGTGTGTGTGTGTGTGTGTGTGTGTGTGTGTGTGTGTGTGTGTGTGTGTAATATATATTATATATATTCATTTTATACATAGACGTATATATGTATAAACACACATCTATTCGTTTATTTATACACATGTGTATATATATGTGCACACATATATTTATACACATATGTGTATATATACATGCACACATATATTTATACACATACATATATACTGTGATACACACGCACGCACGCACGCACACACACACACACACACACACATTGCCTTATTATTTTCATGATTTTTGTTTTTTTTGGTTTTGTTTTTTTTTTTTTTTTTGGTTTGGTTTTTCCCGGGACGTGGGGCTTGAACCCTGGCTGGCCCTGGACACTGTCCCCCAACTCTTCAGCTCAAGCCTAGGGCGCTACTACTTGAGCCACAGTACCACTTCCGGTTTTCTGAGTGGCTTATTGGAGATAAGAGTCTCACGGTCTTTCGTGCCCAGGCTGGCTTTGAACCGAGATCCTCAGATCTCAGCTTCCGGAGCAGCTAGGATTACAGGCGCGA